AGCGAATGCTAAACGGAAATTACAGTATCCTACACATCCAAAAAAAAGGTGGTTGGTAAGACATATTATGAATGATACCGATGAAAAGCTGTATGGTTTTTTGGAATACGACAAAATATTCCCTCAATCATCGAATTCGGAAAAACATTTGACAAATCATATTGTTACAAAGGTGTACGGTCGTTCGGAAAGAAGAAGAAATATCTCTCAACCAGTGAATATGAAAAGATACGCGAGGATTCACGGCGGTATAAAGAGGTACCATTGTTCCGTATGCGGAAAACAATTCAGCCAAGAATATAATTTGAATAATCATATGTTGGTTCACGCTGATGAAAAGCCGTACAAATGTTCCGTATGTGAAAAAGGTTACTCTCATCAATGGGTTTTGAAAAGGCACATGAAAATTCATACCGATGAAAAGAATACTGTTGTTCCATATTCGGTAAGTACTTCACCGAAAGTTGTTCTGGATGTGACAGAAGATTCTTCCGAAGAAATACTTTGAATATAGTGGAAACTTATTGCGAACAGAATTCTCCTTCCAATTAGGCTGCATGTAAACAAAGCAATTCATTTTGAAATTTCATATGAAGAAGTTTGGGAAGGTAAAATAGCTTTAATCATTCATCCTTAATTTTTATCATACCCTTTATCATCATTGCTGTTACTATTATTTCTTACCTATAAGTTTTTAATTTTCTATTTGATATGCAAATTATTTATTTACTGTTTCTCTTATTTTATTTCAATGAATAAAAATTCTCCTTATCGTTATCAATTCGCATATCAACTGGACAAGAAGTCTTTGCTTTATCAATTACACTATTATGACATTCATATCAAACATTTTGATAAAATCCTCTTGAATATAAGATAAGTATGTGGACATAAATAAGAAAAACTGTGTAAAGGAAGATCTGATAACGTTTGAAACACAATTGAAAACATTTTCACATGAATTGGTTTACAGTAATTTGACAATTAAAGATAAGCAAGGCAAGGTAAGCAAGGTAATGAAAAGAAAGGATAAGGATAAGAATCAGGTAAATGAATCATCATTGTAACACTCATTAAATTACAATTTATGGGATGAATCGATTGAGTGAGAAATACTTCTGCAATACAAATTATTTTTATCATTATCATATAGTTACAATAAATTCGCAACACTTCCACTGAGAGAGTTATTATCGTCGCGGGAAGAATTTGAGGTTTATATTTGGTAGATATTTTTTGTCCTCTTTTACCTATTACGGCAGCCTGTAGTAAATCCGTGGGAGGTGCAACAATTTCTCTTTGATTTGAAATCTCAGTACAAAATGAACAAAATATGAATTGAATTAATTCGAGTTTCATATTAACGGCAATCAGTACTATTGATATTATAACATTGCTTACACCAGCAGCAGTTAATTTCCACCAGAAAGTACTGGAGAAAGAGTGGAAAAATTAAATAATTAATTAATTAATTAACCACACATTGAATATATATGATTATTCTAAACGTTTTCATAATTTCACCTTATATACATATATATATGATTGTATATGTTTTCATAATTTCACGAAGATTGTTTGATAAGTACGATGAAAAAATGGTTGGGCAGTAAAGAAGACGAAGAGGTGGAATAATTTCAAATATATGAATTCAAAGAAAATTCCTTAAAAAATAATAATTGGGCGCAAATTACCAGGCGATAAT